AAAAACACAAAGTTGTCAGTAAAGCTCATTGTTAGGAAAATTGCTATTAATTGTAACATCTATTATCGTAAAAGATTTGTCGTATGTCGTGATAAATAAGATTCATTAAATATTATAAAATATCTTGAACAATATAATATTGTAAAATATCTTGAACAACATCATATAACATTTTATGATAATTAATGGTAAGGATCTTGATTGTAATATCTAGTGGTGAGAACTTGGTAAGAGTCGACGCTAATGGGGCAGTGGAACAATCTGCCATTGCACCAGAGACTCAACCCAAGGAATGTTGATCAACGATTTCAGCAGCGCCGGCTTCGATGCAACTGCTGTACAGAAAATTATCGGCGAATTGGCCTTCAAAGTATGAAGGCCCGTAGTGTGAAAAGGCGTTTTTCTTTTTTTTAAAAAAAAAGAAAACCAATCGAGAGGCGGAAGAAAGTCGTGAACGAATTGGAGACAGCGTCAGTTGAGTTGTGGAAAAGAGTTGATTGAATTGTAAAAAAAGAGTTTATTTGAGTGATGACCAACTATATTATCTATTGTTTAATCACCAGCATTATTATCAAATATCAGTTTATATTTAATCTTTACATCTGTACGTGCATGGATTTACCAACTGTTCTTATTTTATAAAAATAATTTTCAGTTCATTTCACAGTCGAGCCAGAAAAAAAGAAACAGACCACGTTAGGTCAGTTCAGTTATTGCCTAATGTAAAGCATGCAATAGAAAATGCGATGAAAGACGGGCTACATTGATTCAAATTTTGAATTAAATTGTCGATAACAATCAATCAATGTCCATTCTATGCTAAAGAAAACTTCAGCAAAGTTTAAGAAAATACAAAACAGACATCAGTCACTTTTTGAATGGTCAAAGTCACAGTTTTGCGTCATTCCATTTAATTGAAATACACTAACATAATTATCGTTTTTTTTATAATTATCGTTAATTTACATTGAAAATTGCTCACGCCAGGATGACATTACGTATGTAAATTCTTAGGCAGCTAATGCTTATAATATGCTAAATATGCAAAAAATGCTATGCAAGACGTACGTATATGTTATACTCTTTTCCAAAAGAATTAATTTGCTAATATTCCTTTCTAATGTCGTGCAGAAGTACATGTAGTTTTGGCCACTTCATATTTATTATTTATTATTTAGGATTTTTTATTTATTATTTTTATTATTATTTAAAATTTTTACAGGGAATTATAACTACAAACTGTTTTCTTAAAACTGATTTCTTTAATCTTCTTTTCTAAAAGTATTGTGTGCTTTCCTAAAAATGTATTCATTGAATGTTTTGAAAAAATTTTACCTTATATTGCCTAAACGCACCTAGGACAGTTTTAAGATTAGCATCAATGATTGACTATAAAGTTGCCCATTTACGAGTGCCCATATTACACTGTACTTACTTTTGAATTATTGTCATTATTCTTATATGCAGCGGTATTTATATATTGAGATCACCGCACGTGCCAATTAACAATATCTCCTTCGACATTTGTGTTGTAGTTGT